ATATCGTATCTCGGGTGCGAGAACACAACCATAAAATCCAAACGAGTATCTCGCATATCGAGTGTTGGGTGTGCGCGTACGCCAAGATGTCATTAGGCCTGGTTAAAACAGTAGTGAATTGACTGGCACCGGCTTGCCATGACATTCGCGTACGAATTTCCGAAATGCATTTACGTATTGTGGTGTGTGTATGTTTGATGATTTGTTATTCAAATTCAAGAAGAATCTATTGAGTATCAAGATTAAGATGATCATTTGTAGCAAACGCAATGAGCAATGGGCATCCAGCCCAATGCCAAGTAATTATTTTGAAGATCGATTCAAATGGTTCGGACATTGCTGAGCTTTTAATTTATTCGCAATTTTAACAATGTATTCGAATGATTTAGATGCATCATTTGAAAAGGTGCTGACTGAGTGCGCACTGAAGGTCGATTAAGAAATGCAACGAATATTCCCAACTTGAGCGCAGAGAAATGATACTCGACTCATCTCGCATTTCTCTCAATCTCGTTGAGATAGTCACAAGTGCTTCGCATTGAAATGTGCCATTCAGGGCTAGAAATTTGTGTGGCTCGTTCATTGGTCAATATCAGACAATTGAAATTCATACGATTTTCAATTTCGTTTGTTATAATTCGAAATTGAAATTTATAATGGGGGCACACTCACCCTCTTGACAAACATATAATTGACTCTTAAATAATAGTTTTGGATGCGTTCGCATTTATTCAGATGTGCATTGCATAGACTGAAGCGCACACACACCCACACACGGCATATTCAATATGTCGGAACAAAGCTCCCCTTTTGATATCGGCTTGAGATAAGCAACGTAATAAATTTTCGATCAATTGCCTACGTTGAACGATGCTACGCCAGTTGGCCACACATTATCATTTATAATTCTATTCACTTCACATTCACACAATCTGACGAAATATAGAGGGGTTGTTCGCTTGCCTGAATAATGCAATATAGTGCATCCATACATACATATTTCGTAAAATCTTGAGAACTGACAAAGACGACGACGACGACGACCATAATCTTACATCTATTTTGGCTTTGGCATTTAAATACCAAATGAACAACCGTTCACTGGAAGCGACAGAGAAAGAGGGAGAGAGAGGGAGATAGAGGCGCTGATGAGTTTTCGAGTACAATATCCATTACGAATGTGCACACCGATAGAAATATAATTTGCATACGAAACATTGTGTGGAAAGTATGCTTTTGTCGGCATTTCTCGATCTCGAATTTCGAAGCGCATGAGATCCATCGATGTAATTCCTTTTGATAAGATTTCAGCAAATATTCAATCGTTTTTGGGGTCTTATGCACAATGCACACTTGATGCGCTCTTTACCATCCATGCAAATAAATTTACGCGTTTATTATAAATGCTCCATCCAGACACATACCTACGTCATCTCGATTCGCTTTGAGCGCAAATGATTCATGACTACATTTAAATGGGTGCCCTAAGAGAAAGGCTGTAAGACAGAAAAATGCATGAACATTGAATGAGTGCAAGTGCAAGTGCAAGTGCAAGTGCACATGAGCCAAATAATATAGTTTTAATATTTAAACACTACTTTATGTGTGAAAATAATTTTTAAAAATTCATCGATTCTTGCCTGCTACGTACAAACGAGCGCATTTGATGTATATTAGAGTAACTCTTTCATGCCAATAGGATTATTCATGTTTTTTCCAACACATATTGGATATTGCATGAAACACTGCCGAAAATGTTTGTAGAGTTTTAGCGAATTTAAATTATTCCGTTGCAATATTGACCTGAATATCGGTTTTTATGCCAATGTTTGTTGAGCTATTATCAGCGAAAACTCAGCGTAGAAACTGAAAAAAATGAACTTTTTACGGAATAAGATGAATATTTTGTCAGGGCTATGATGCGATTTGGATATTACACAAAAATGAGTAAAAGAGGAGAATCATTCAAAACTACTCATTCATTTGATTTCAAAAGATCAACAGCAAGCATTTAGTACATATGACATGATCATAGAAAAAAAATTTGAATGCAATAATTAAATTCGCTAGTCTTGTTATGATAACTGCCGGAACAAGGATTTTGTGACAAAAAATTGTGTCTTCGATAGGTTAGGCAAGAACCGTTCCAATGTAAAAACCATACAATTCAACGATAAAATTCGTTTCACCCCAAACCGCATAGCACATACACATTTTCTTTGTGCCTGTAATGACCAGATATTTTTCAAACAATTCCTACGAGATGGCGCTGCGTTTGCATTCATTGTTGAATGAGCTAAAAAAGACTTCAGTCAATGATTCAATAAAAAGCTTATTTTTTATTGCTTCACAATAGAAGGTGTGTATTCACAATGGGCGCAATTTTAAATCCTTTTTGGTTACTTTAATAAGAAAAACACCGAAACCATACATGACGAAATGGATTTTCAAATTGTCACATTCAATCAAAGGGTATACATGAAAACCGTTTGTCGGCAATTTATCACTTGGACATTGAACGAGAAAGGCATTTGACATTCACAAGAATGTTTTCGATTCGATATTGTGCCCATGTTGATATAACTGAAGATGAATATTATGCAAGTGAACAACGAATGAACGATACACACGGATGCATCAAGCATCCAGCCCATCCATAATTGTTACGGTTCGTGTTTTATGCAATTCAATCAAGTAACACTTCGCAAACAGCTGGCCATAAATCCATTTGGGCATGACAAAGCAAAGGGTGAAATTGAGAGATACCGTTGTGCGTGCGAATAAATTTGTTACTTACAAATAACATTTGATGCTGAGAAAGATATATGTGTGTGGATTGAAGAGACACGGACACAGATTGAGGTGGAGAGAATGCGTCTGAATGGATGAAAGCAAATGATCGGCTCTTATGAGAGGCAATAGGTTGAGAGAGAGAGAGAGAGAGTGAGCTGAGCGCATCGAATCGAATGCATTTTGATATCATTAAAATAGAAGTGGAAATTGTGAAAAGTGCTAAGCTACGACGATAGAGACGGATACGATGACATCAACAGAATCGTATTTCAGCAGTGGCACAAATATACAATACCCATAGCATATAGTGTGATGCATGAAATACTTGAACAGAGACACAAAACCGAACGTGATTCGATTCGTTCGTTGGAGCGAGCGGATGGGGGAGCAAAATAGTTAGTTTTTTTTTTTTTCAGTGGAATGAAACTCATCATTTTCCAGTTTCCATATGCTGATATGCTTGGGTTAAATCATTTCGTTTGCTCAAAAAATCATGAGGTCTTGGAAATCGTCTAAAACGGCGTGTGAGAGTGTGCGAGTATGTGTCTGTCGTTTTCTCCCATGTCGGAATCTTGTCGAGATGCGATTGCATTGCTACTGTTTTTGATGCAAACATATTTCAGTTGAAATCTTTGGCGCGACCGAACAGAGAATGCAGGCATCCATCTCTGTTCGCAGCCGGTGTGAGTGCGAATTGGATTCATGGCATGCAAACAACAAAGCGCACACGACACCATCATACAGATTGTAATCATTATGCTTTGGGATTTTTTTGTTGTTGTTGTCGTAAACGCATGTACGTGGTGTGTATTGGTCGAGCCATGCGATACACACTCACACACCGAGAGTGTATGTTTGTGAGTTATTGAGAAATGAGATGTTGGCCGGTGGTAAATGTAAGTTCCTTCTAATATATGTAGTCCAACAAATGTACAAATGTGTCGACACACACGGAAATGCATTGGATGACTAAAGATTGGACATTCGTTCCACTGTACTATACACATGTGTATATGTATGTACGATGTGTATGTGTCGCAAATGTGTATTAATGTCGCACTGTGAGCATATCGAGTCTATATTGGCGGTAATGGTGATGGTGGTGGCTGTGCAGCAGACCAAAAGAGCCATAGAAAAACTTTATATGGGGATCATCAACAATATCCTAGTCGTAGACGAGAGTGAAGTGAAGTCATTAATCAATGTGACACTACAATAGAAAGCTAATTTTGAATATGTATGTAAAACATAAAGCATATTGGCTCCAAAGAGTGTACACACTCACACGCTCACTCTTGCTCTCTCTCTCTCTCTCTCTCTCTCTCTCTCTCTCTCTCTCTGTCTGTCTCGGAAAACACTTTCTTTAGCATTGGCGTTTTTAGCTCTTCATACTCGCTATCTGGGCTTGCGGGCGTTTTTCTTTTTGCTTTGCTTAGCATCCGTTTCCTTCATTTAATTCGTTTTATGTCTCGAATTTCCAATTCATCTAGAGTGTGAGAATATGCGACGCATACATTGTAAAAACTGTTATTGTGGCAAATCGGCAAATTGTTATTTTCAATACGGTTCTGTGAAATTTGCACGGTGCATGCACAAGCATAAGCGCATACAGCATACAGTGAGCATCTTCTCACACCGTGCGCACTCTTTAAGCACAACTTTACTCTCGCTCGCTCTGTGTGTGTTTGTGTCACTACCATATTCCGTCTAGCAAACAAATTGCATTAAGTCACTATATTTGACCGAGAATAGAGCAGCAGAAAAGATGCAAGTGCATTTTCGACAGCAACACGTACACTGTGAAATTGGCGTTTTCAATTCGGTCGTCTTTTATTCGAGACAGCGAGAAAGAGAGAGGAAAACAACCGACCGCTTCAGTCCAACACTTTTGCGTCGACATACGGGGAATTGAAACGCGCTCACTCAATAACAAAACGACCCACAATAAGAACAACAAATCCAAGAGCTTTAACCATTTCATCTTCTCTTCTTCTTCTTCTTTTTTCCTTGCTTACTTACATTTCTCTTTAATTTCGTTCACGAAACTCCGGTCGCACAGAAATGCACACAATATTAGATTCCGCTGCATCTGTAGAAAAAGAACAGAAGATTCAAGAAAAAAACAACAACAGTTCATCCATCTCAACCGAATGAAACCAAAAATAAAGCGATTCAGAGAGGGAGAGGAAGAGAAAAAAAAGACTAGACTGGTTTTTTGTTGTGATTTATTGTTGACCTGAGCGATTTTATATTACAGTGTCATTAGGTTTCAGGAAAAATTGATGTTATTCTTTATGCGTCCGTTGGTGTCGTTGCAAATGGACTCGCAGTCGAAACGATTTCGAACAGAGGTCACATTTGAATGACTTTTCGCCCGAATGGATCAGAAGATGATTATCTAGGTTTTGTTTGTAGGCGAATTTTGACTCTCGTCCATATTGTGCACAAATATAGCATCGAAACTTTTTTTCGCCAGTATGCGTTACCATATGTGTTTTTATACGGCTACGAATGGCAGTCTTATAGTCACACGATGGGCATTTGTGCAATTTACTTTTGCATGCTTTTTCATGGGACACTTGTGTGGTTTTATCGGAAAATCGACGACAACACGATGCACACGAAAATGGTAATTCTCGATGGGTTTTCAAATGGCGATGCAAATCGCCACGGTGCAGAAAACGTTTGGCACAATATTCGCACGGAAAGGCTTTTTCTCCTCGATGCGTTTTCAAATGTAGATTGAGGTGACTACTTTGAGCGAAATTTTTGCTACACACTTCACACTGGTACGGCTTTTCTCCAGTGTGTGTTTTCAAATGAATGACAAGATGATGCTTCATCCTGAAGCTTTTCGAACAAATGTCACAGATGAAATCACGCTTCGCCGAATTTTTTCTGCTTTGACTTTGTTCGATGAACGACGCTGATTGGCATGCTATTTTCAATGATTCTGATGGTGTTTGAACAATTTTGTTTGATTGTTTTTCCTCTACTACGGGCTTTTTCTGCTGTTTATGGCTTTTATTGTGACTTTTCGGTGATTTAAGTTCAAATTTTATCGAAATTGCTGGTTTTTCTTCAACATTTTGATCGTTGCTTTCTCCATTTTCGATGCTTCCACCATTTAGATCACTTTGGATCGAGTTTATTATGTCACAATTGCTATCGACTAAATATTTGTGTTCCGCTTCGTGTACAGTCTCATTTGTCTCGCTCGCATCGTTCCAATTATCCGCATTCATTACGAATTCAATGTCATGTCTTGGTTCTTTCTTGACAATAACTTCGAAAAATTTTATTGCCTGCTCATCAGTCTCATGCTTCTCTTTCGTATCATCAGTCGCCGTCGTTGAGCTATTTTCATGTTCATGAATTTTCAAATGACGATTGAGATCGCCCCGGTGAACGAATCGTTTCTGACAATACCTGCACGAAAATGCTCGATCGCCCGAATGATATTTCATGTGTACATTCAAATTACTCCTCACTGTGAACGCTTTCTGACACACCGTGCACTTGAATTGCTTCATTCGGCTGTGTATTTTGGAGTGTTCAACGAGATGATGTTTCATTCGGAATGCCTTTGGGCACTTGTCACAAATGAATCGTCGTTCACCGATGTGGATATTCTTGTGTGCATCCAAAAGATCCGTGTCTATCGCCTCAAAATCACATATCGAACACTTAAAACGTCGACTCTTACACGATTGTTCGTGCGTTTGCTTTGCAACACCGTCCGAAAATCGATCAGCACAGAATGAACAGCGAAACGGCAATTGTGTGCGATGTGTTTTCCAATGGCGTTTCAAATCACCTCGATGCAAAAATAGCTTTGAACAAAATTCACACTTAAACTCTTTTCGACCAGAATGAATCTTATTGTGTTGCGTCAGATGACTTTTTTGACGAAATTTTCGCGCACATATTTTACACTGAAATTCTTTTTCATTGTTGTGCACTTTCAAGTGTAACAGTAGATGATGTTTGTGACCAAAACGTTTCGAACAAATATGACACAGAAATGACTTGGTTTTCGGTGTTGTAATCGATTTTAAAATTATCTGTTTCGCTAATGATTTATCGTCAATTATATTTTCATCGCTTTCACATTCCCGCAACGATTCCACTTTAATCGTGACATTCATTTTCAACGAAAAAATATCGCAGCAAGCGCATCAAGTATGCGTTTGCAACGAATATACGTATTTGATTTGTATACCACAATCACAATCAAAGAAATAAAACGAAACTAAATTGTGTTTACTATTTTGATTCCGGTTTTAGATTACAACAAAAACACGTCAATTATTCTACATTCAGGCTATTGTTGTGTTTACTTCTTCTCTGCCGACTCGTAAAATAAATGTCAAAATGTCAGTGGCTAGTTCACAGTGGGGTGAACAGCTGATTGTGTTGAAAATGTTAGAGTATGCTCTGTGGCCAACTTCAGAGAGCACTTGGCCACCAAATTCAAATTCAAATTTGTACGTTATTTTATTTATTACTTAATTTATTGTTCAGGTACACGAAAATATATTGAAATAGCAGTATTTTAATGGTTGAAAGGTATTGATTCACATTTTAAATGGACGAATGTAATTAGTTGCGATTTTTTCTGCGTTTATCCTTGCTTCTTCGCAAAGGGAGATAGAAGTCGGTGAAATGCATTGATTGATGCAAGTGTGAAGTGCATACGTGTATCGAATACGTTGAGTACAGGCACCAAACCACATGCAAACGCGTCAATTTCTCGATGAAGCACCGTGCGAATCGAAAGTTGCAATCCATTATTCAGCTACTGTATGGTAAACAATCCATTACTATCTTCACATATGAACACGTATATTTGCATTGTGCTGCTATTACTATTGCAGCCACTGCTGCTGCTGCTGCTGTTGTGCAAGTTTGCACATACACTAGCGATTCGCAATGAATAATCTGAGCGCCTTTCCTCAAACGCCCTCAAACCATGATAAAATTAAATTGATGTTGTGCAATAAATAAATAGAATACGGCACATCAATTCTACGTCTCGGTTTGCCAAAGTGCTCTGTATGTGTGTGTATGTACGGCTGTGTTGCTTGTTTTGCCGCTCATGTGTTTGCACTTGCATCCGTCTCTTTGCTCGGCAATATTCCATTTTAATTCACGTCCTCTTTATTGTTCCAAATTTAAATTTTGCATACAATTTTTTTTACCTTCTTCTGCACTGGTCCATCTGTATGTTTGTGCATTTCATTCTTCAATGAAAAATAATTCTCCCTACGACCGTGTCTCTCCGTCCAACTGCCATTCGCTTCTTTTAATTTTGTTTACTTTAAATTTGTTGATAAAATTTTTCTACCGAATCGTTATAATGTTTCATTAGATAAATCGTTTGCATGCATAATTCACCACTCGAGAGAGAGAGAGAGAGAGAGAGCTTATATTCTCACTTGCATCCAAACAAATAGAAATTTGTGTACCGTATTTATTTTGGGTTTGAGGTTTTCAGCATTTACACTTTTGTTTGTGCTGTGTGTCGTTGTGTTGTCGATGTGTCGTGCAACGTTGTATGCATAGTGAAAGAGAGAAAGATTGGGTGCCGTAGTGAGTGACGTAAAGGCGAAGACGACGATGACAACAATTGTCGACTCCGTTCTCAATATGTTTCACATGCAATTTTCTTTTTCGTCAGTCGATCGGCGTTCTCTGTGTTTCATTTGTTCTCATTTTTTCATCTATGTGAAAGCTCGATGTGTTCGTTTTACATTTTTTTGGGTTATATGCACACCGCCTCGATTTCGTTTCGTTTGGCAACACACACGGAAGGGCACCCAGGCCAAAGTACATGCTGACACAAGGAACAAGTAGGAAAAGCAATGCAAACCCAAGCGCACACTACCAAGCACGGCTGGTACTGGTGCTGGTGCGGCAAGGAATCGGTTTGTTTCAAATATATTTTTGTTTTTCTTGTTGCCACTCTCTTTTCTCGTGTTGTTTTTCACTTTCCCACCTCGTCTCGCTCTCTGGCCCTGGCATCCACCAACAATTCTTCATCCATTTCATGCTACTGCTGCTTCTGATGCCACTGATCATGATGACGATGACGACGACGACGACGACGACGACAACGCCGCCGCTGTGTTGGAAGCGGGTTTTTCTAAATTTAAACGACAAATTAATCATGTTGAAAGTTTTGCAATTCCTACTGAACCAAGCGTATTTATTACAACATTCTCTCCACTACTACTACGTGCAATGGCAGTGCATTGGGCCACCGATACAAACTCTCTCTCTCTCTTTTTTTTTTCTTTCGCTCCAACATTTGCTCACTCGCTCGCTCGGTTTTATATGCATGTATGCAAAATGGTTGCATGTATTCCAGCAAGTGAGCGCGGGCATGGGCGCTCTCGCGCGCTTCTCTGTGTATGAGTCGATTTGTTTGTGTTTCAACGAACAGAGTAGAATGAGGGAGTCTAGCTGATTGTTCGGCTCCTTTTTTCTTCTATTCGCCTAAAAGTTTCCTTTTTAAATGTACACATTTATATTGTATGCAACATCTCAGCAGCGAACACTATGCACGTTCACTCGTTCATGCGATGCTGTGCGGCAGCGAACACTCATTCATTCTACTCGCTCACTCATTTTCTATCTCGTTCTCGTTTGTTTGACATCACAAATTCAATGATGGTTTTATATTTGTCTAACAAACAACAGACACGGTAAGTGCATATACATGTACATGTAGCTATTGCAAATTTATTTATTCGTTTCAACAGCACGCAACTTCGGTATTTAAGCAATTAAATGTCGATTTAATTTTTCCTCCAACTTATTTGCCTCTTCTTCTTCCTCTCCTCCTCCTCCTCCTCCGCTTCCTTCATCATCATCTCCTCGGTCCTTTTTTCCCTATTTGCTAGTTTTAATTTTTCTCTCGCTCGTTCTGTTCTGTTTTGTTTAAATATAAAACGGGGAGAAGCGAACGGAAAAAAAAACGAAGGAAAACAAGAAGTGTAGTCTACATCGTCTCTGCAATTGTTTGCTCGAAATGCAATATTGACACTGTGAATGGAGACCGATTTCCTTGGAGAGAGCGACTCTGTCAAACCATAAGCATCATGAATGTACGGTTGGAGCTACCCAATCGAAAATTCAACAAGCGATATTCCGAATGTTTTAATTTTGTTACATCAATTAAATTACGTCTACTAAATTTATCGCCAAAAATTGTATCGCGAATGCGCGCTCAAGCGCACGCACCTCCACCAACGTCCCACATCATCTTCTCTTATGGTACACGTCGTTCGCTCAACAATCAAATCAAAAACAAAATGGGCTGTAAATGAATTTCAACTGAATTTCTTATTATTCGCTGACTTGGGACGCTGTTCAAATGCAACATAGAAATGGTTGGTGTGGACAAGCGTACAAACGGAGATGACGACGAAGACGACGACAACAACGTCAACAGCAGCGACGACGACGATAGCAACTTTTACCTCTATCTTACACTATTACAAAGCAGATCAATACTTTTTTTTTCGCTCTCTCCCTCTTTAATTTCAATTTCCAGCGCAAGTTTTCGATGATGATATTTATTCCTTGATATTTTTTTTTCATTCTTTTCTTTTCATCTTCTTTAGCCGTAGTACGTGCATGAGTAGTAGACATGGTACAAGCCGTATAAAGCAGCCAAAACGCTCGATGACTTGAAAAGTCAAATGGTTCGGGCTTATTATGGGACGCAGTAAGAGAATGAGCGAGCGAAGACGACGACAATGACGACGAGAAGAAGAAAAAAAATATTGAAAAATTTCGTTATAGAATCGAAAACATAAAAATCCCTGTGCGCCGGATATTTGGCACCAACAACAAAATAATAACAATCATAATAATGATGAGAAGTTATTTATTTTAGACTTCCTGCTTCTTGCTTACCAACCCAAAACCATTTTGTCGCTTCTCGATGAGCGTTCGATGCTTGGATGAATGCCGTGTGATATATTGCGACAAACAGCCGGTCAATAAGAATTCAGGCTGGTTGCACGGGGCGAATATTTTCTGCCATTAAATGTAAAGAATTGAAATGGAAATTGAAATTATTTGAAAATCATGTTGGATTTTATTGGGAAAAAAATATTCGCTGAAAAGAGCAGAGTGTTCGCAACGAAACAGGCCAAGTGAATGTGGAGCTGTTGTGATAAACATATCCACGAATTTATACAAACGTACACAGTATATTCCACTTTTATCCTGTTATTTTTCGGTGAAAATTCATTTCCTGCCTTATTCGAAGTCACTTTTTCACTTCATGGCTGTTTCATCGCCTGCAACTGATGTGTATGTTATGCGCACTTTAAATACAATTTTTTTTCTCTCTCTCTCTTCGCTTCTGCCACACATTCTCATTCCAATGCCATACAAGCGTTCACTAACAAGCACAAGACGACACAGAGAGAAATTGCAGGAAAAATTACGGGAATGAGAGAAGAAGCGAACAGAGGAAGAAGCGGACCGAGTGGGAGAAAAATCGAAAAGAATTTCAAAAGAAACGAAAGGAAATCGCCACGTAAAAGATCAACAACAAAATTGCAATTTCGGCGAAAATCAGAAAATCCGGCATTCGACACAATAAATTTTTGAATGACTCTGCTCTGGCGACTCAACACAAATCATTCGACATACACAAATACATTCGCACAGAGAAGAACGAAAGAGACAGGGACAGGGAACGAGAGGGCTAGAAATAATAGTAGTAGTGACGACAAAAAGCGAATCGCTAGCTTTGCTGAATTGTGGATATTTCATTCATTCGCAATCAGATAAACAAATTGCTTTCAGCCATTCACACTGTAACATTGATAGAGTTTGATGATCTGAAATGTTAGTGGCAAATCAAGTTCAAGCCTTATCGCGAACCAAACACGCAGAATGCGCTCGTTCGTTCGTTCGTTTTTTTCTTCTATTTCGTACGATGTGTCATAGATATATGGCTGTTGGTATTCACATTTGCTCTGAGCATGATGGTTTCTGCTGAACGAACTGAACACACAGTCTGCGATTGTAAAGTGGAATAGTATGCCACCTTTATAAGAGCGCTTTTTTTATTATTATCGTGTGAGTCGACGTATGAGTGTGTGTTGCCGTTTCGAAAACGGGTAAAATAGTTGCGCTTGTACTCCAATCACGTACAGCTGTTCGACGGATCAGATTTGAATTTTTTCAACTAAGTTTCTCAAGCATCAAATGATGTTGTTGTTACATTATTATACAGCGCCCATT